GAGATTTTCACTGATTTTAAGAAACACAAGCTACGCCAATTAGTAGAAACGATGTTGAATTAAAAAACGGTGCGCAGAAGCGAGTTGTTTAGCAGAAAGAAAATTTCAAAATCCTCAGAAAACAATCTACGGTTGTTCCTACGAAGTGTTTTGCAGTTCTTTCCTCATGTTTAGTGGGAACTGATCCTCCACTCTCAGACTGGACTCAACGGTCTCTGTTGCTCGCAACTTTTTTGTTTTCGACCCAACTGAAGAGCATTAAATGCCATTTAGGACGAAGTGCCTTGTGTTACAAAGGCACGATTTTTTACCCGAACCCCAGAAGGTGTTTAATGCGTGTGGTTCGATTTTGCATTTACCCACTAATGCAATTAAATTAGTGCAATAACTTGAGCGATTATTTCGGCCCCTCTCTAGGTAGAGCAGCGAGCGGCGCAGATGAATTGTCGCAAATCAAACATAAGGAGGCACAAAGAACCGTCACAGACGAACCTAATCAAACAGTGGAACAAAAAGAACCAGCCGGGTACGGAACAAGAAGAAACAGTTTGTAAATACGATGGTTAAATATTTGTTTCCTGTGTTTTTGGGCAAACTGTCCTACTACTAGTGTTTGGGTGGGGAGCGCACTCCCATTCTCGTGGGAGAATTAACTTATCGGCGCGCGTGGAAAGAGGAGCAAAACAATCGGCCGATGATTTGCAAGTTGAAATAAAGAAGAAACCTGAAATAACAGCCCTTGTCCAGTCGAATAATAAGCAAAATACTGAGTTATGCCCATCTAAATTGCGTATTGGACATAAATTTTCATTATCGGAGATTTATCGCTATCCGCTCCATGTTATATCAGTTCTACCAACTTGTCTCCGCCGCAGCAGAAATTCACAAGGATTTATCGTTCTGCCTGTTTACGCGGGCCTCTGGGCCTTATTTGACCATTCACAAGAACAACAACAAGAGTGGCTTATGACTATTCCACTTAATACGGAACCGAAGAAAATAGAAGTCTGCAAAAGCAACATGTCTAATCGCGTGCGCTGGGAACAAAAGCACCGGAAGGTACCACCTGAAAGCAAAGTGCGCTCTATTTGGAATCAATGGTGTATCGTGAAGTATTTGAGCGAACCCCCTTTCCCTCCAATTGCTCTCAACTCACCTCAATATTTGGATTGGAATATATTGAAAACTTGCGAGTTTTACGGGTTTTTTAGATCAAAGGAACGTGAGGTTTCGAGTAAGGAGGTTTGAACTGCAACCCGAAATACAAACCTTTGTCTTTGAGAATAATTATTTTTTTAAGTTTATGAATCCAACTTTAATTTTAATTTTAATGGTCAATGAAGAATTACGACGTTGAGTAAAGCAGGACTTTTGATTTCAGCACGCGGACTTCATCTCTTGGCTCAGAGTGAGGCAGTGGAGAAAAATGAGGAAATATTTTGAAAAGCAGTCGATATTTTTAATGTGTTTGGTACGTCACTGGACAACAGGTCGAAACGGGTTCTTTCCGGACGCCCGGACAAGGAATAATGGATTCTGCGTCGTCTGGGCTGAGTGAATGGACGTCGCGAGTCGAATAATAACCCCGAACATTCGGGATATTTTTGAAGAACACCACTTCAAGTTCAATGTCAGACGCATTGTCCTGGGAATTTCAATGCAAACGTTTTTTCCTTTCTCGGCCAGGACAGAGACAGGCAAAGTGGATGTGCGAAGCAAGTCGAAAACTTGCATAGTCCGGATCGTGGATCTTGCATTCATAGTCTTGATTTTGGTCTTGCTAACCAAAAGACAGTCTCGGTGTTGGTCTTGCAGCAAAAGACTTGCAAGTTTTGGCTTGCTTTTAAATATGGCCTAAATTTAAACTTTTGGTACTTAATAGAGTCGTTTCCTTTCTGAGCATGACACAACCATCAAGTTTCTAGCTCATTCAGTTCGCCAGTAACGAATTCTTAAGTTAGACCGTGCACAACAGACAACAACTGCTTGAAAAGTTGTCTAAAATTAAAAAATTGCAACAAATTTAATGAAAGTGGTGGTGCAAATTGGTAGCAGTTTTGCATTAAGAGTCTCTGTTCAGCTGGAATAAATTTTCTGTCTGTATGCCCTTGTACAAGACTACGGTTGGAAAATGGGCCAAATTTAAAAACCCATAATTTATTTTTTGAAAATGTCTACTATTTGCAATTTTTTTGACTTTTGACTCGAATCGTCTTTAGAATACCGCAAAAATCAAATCTCCAGCTGTCTCAGAAGTTTTCTGTGGTTTGGAAAGTTAACTAAATCTAAAAATTAACTGAAAGTCGCTCAAATTGGAAATTTTCTTCAATTGTAAGACAGCTTTTTGTCTATGAAATTCTAAAATAATTACGTTACAAGTTTTTTTTTTCAAGTTTTTTTGGTTTGGCAGCGCTAAATTTTCATGTTTGGCCGTAAAATAGGTCGAAGTCAAAAATTCATTATTAATTTCCTAAAAATCACGCCGACTTTCTACTTTTGTGAGTTAGAGAATTGTCTTTCGCCTTTTCAACACCACATCAGCCAAATTTTGAACTCCTTCAGTTCGGCAGCAGCAATACATTTTTATGTTGGACCTTCCACACAAGAGAACTGCTTGAAGTCAAAAATTTACTAAACAGTCTGTAAACGTGGTGCAAACTGAAAACCTTCGTAACATGTAGAACCGCGATTTCTCTATAAAACTTCAGCCGAATAAAGTTTCTGCCTCTTTCGGTTCGGCCGCAATAACTATTGAAGTTTAAACATCTATGGTTCAATGTCGCATTTCCTTTTTACAACTGCGTAACAAACAAATTTCCAGCAGCTTCAGTTGCTGTTTAATTTCCAAGTTGGACCTTGCGCAAAAAAAACTGTTTCAAAAGATGACTGAACTCAAAAATGTTCAACAAATTATTTGAAATTGGGGGAATCTAAAACCTTTAACCGATTATATAGGTCTGTTTTGTTCTATAGACTGCAAGAAGAATCAAGTGTATAGTTCGTACAGTTCTGCAACAATAAATTTTCAAGTTCGACCTTGCACATGACTGCAGTTGACAAATGGTTCAAACTGAAAAGTTCATAATTCATTTCTTAAAACCGATGGCGATTTGCCGCTATCGTATGTTATATAGGCGCCTTTCCTCTTGGGAACACCGTAACAAGAAAATGTCCAGGTGCTTTAGTTCGGCAGGAATAAATTTTTAAGTTGGGCCTTGCACACAAAAAATGCTTGAAAAGTTGCCTAAAGTTAAAAATGTGCAACAAATTATCGTAAAGTTGTACAAATTTGAAACTTTTGCCAATTGTTGACCCTCCCTTTGCCTATTCAATGCAGGAGGAATCACGGTTGATAGCTGTTTTAGCTGAGCAGCAAGAAATTTTCAAGTTCGACCTTGCACATTGCTTTAGTTTGAAAAATTGTACAAACTTAAAAATTCACTATAAATTTGCTAAAAATAATCACAGTTTGTAACTTTGTTGCACATTATAACAGTGCAAATAGCGAAACTCCATCTTTTTCACTTGAGCAGGAATTATTTTTTGAATTCAATGTTACGCAAAATTGTGCTTGAAAAATGGGGCAAACTTGAAAAATCACTGTCAATTTCCTGAATACATATTTACAAATTTTGTCACTGGTAAAGCGGATTTTCTACCAACCATCTCTCAGTCTGGTAACAGTAAATCTCTTGGATTAAGTTTAGCTACTCCAGCAAAAATAAATAATTTTTAAATTCGACGTTGCATAGGAGTGTTCTTGAAAAAGGCCCAAACTTAAAAATCACTAGATATTTTTTACAAAATATCTCCGATTAGCAACTTTCGGGAGTTAGAGAGTGGAACGTTCCTTTTACTGCAGTGCAACTGCCAAATCTCTACCGTGTTCTCTTTGGCAGGAATTAATTGATAAATTCAAACTTCAAAAATTTGCTGCAAATTGCAAAGTTCCTAAAAATTACTCCCATTTCCAACAAACGTTTAAGACCATTGTACGCTTTGGTTTTTTTCGTTTGTAAAATGTTCGTGTTTTAAATGTGCCATTATTGTGCCACTGTTCTTTGGTGCAGGTTTGCGTGGTTTCTGTTTGAAGAGTTCGAAAATTTTCAGTTCAGCCCAGAACTTTTTCAGAACAAATCTGGCTGGGAAACAAATTGAAAGATTCGCCACAATTTGAGCAATTTCGGGATTTTTATGAAATTTTCCGTCATGATCGAGGAAAACACTTTCTTTCGACTGCTGTTTGGCGCAGCTTTACGCGGCTTCTGGTTGGGAAGTTACGAATTTTTTTCTCATGTACAGAACCAGTCTGGTCGGGAACCAAATGAAATAATTAGTTATAACTTGAACAATTTGGAAGTTTTTGCCAAGCGTCCCCTGCGTGTTAGAGGAAAACATTATTTTTTTATTGCTGTCTGGCGCGGCTTTACCCGACTTCCGCATGGGAAGTTTACATGGGAAGGAATTTTTTAGTTCAGACATTCGTCCACGAACAGAAAATTACACTGTATCACTAGCACAGATTTCCTAGCAATTATTTATGAATTCACCCCGTTTGAAAAGGCATTTGGGCGCTTGTTTGCTGAAATGCGATAAACCCAATACCCTGCCCTGATTATTCCCACCCTAGATTCATGAAGCATCGCCATTCATCCTTTAATGATTTCGTCCCGAAAATCTTCATATCGGCTCATTGTAGTAGTCAGGTAGGCTTGGAAGATGGGACAGAGAAAAAAAGCACCCGGGCAAAACCTAATCCTTATCACAGAGTGGCTTTGATATGACGGATCTATAAAGCCGATATTCAAATATAGAGCGCGGTCTGATTTTTTACCTTTTCGCCTTCCAGGTACCGGGAGGGTTGCAACCGGGCATTTATCCCATGGCTTGGATGTTACGAGGGCAAAACACCAATTTCCATGGTCGTAAATAGTCGGTTAAAAAGGGGCCTGGCAATTAGCATTTTTCAATTGCCAGGGAGAGAAGAAACGCAGCAGATATACGAAAGGTAAGAAAATATATTTTATAAAATTCTTCACAAACTTAACAAACATGTTGAGGTGCCTACATTAATCACTAGCCTAAAATAAGACACTTTGTTACAAATCAGTATACTTCAGGGTCAATCAGCAGGGTGGTTCAAAGCGTGATAACATTTTGAAACACCCTGTAAAGTATTCAAAATTGGGGTTGCAATTCAGTTTTCCTGTGTTATAATCACGTAATTTAGCCCTTAACTCTTCAGCTGAAACTGAAAAAACTGAATTGCGAACACTCAAACAGTGGTACATTAATCACGAAACCTAAAACAAGTTTCAGATGGTACTTAGAGCTAAGAGTATTTTATGTACAAATAAATTAGCCACTCGAGATGAGATCAAACTACCGAAACTAAGTCCTCTACAGCCCCCACTCACCTAGCCCCAGCCCCTTGGTTAACTGTCGGGCTGAGCTGGGTGCTGCACCCACCAGTCGCCCCCAGCAGGAATTTCTTCCCGGTCCGGACCGCCTAAAGCCAGGGGCGGCAGTTCGTTCAGCTCAGTCTTGATCTGCACGTTAAAGTTTTCGGCCAGAGCCCCCGAGGAGAACACTGGTATGAAGCAGTTCTGGGGCAGAGCCTCGGCTTTGGGGCTGACCGATTCTTCTGAGTACATGCCGGGGCTCAGAGAGCCCGCAGCGTTCACTTGCAGATAGGAGAGGTCCTGAGTGTTGAAGTCCAGCAGGTTCTGATCCGCAAGCAGCTGATTAGACATCGGGTCGAGATTTTCCGAGTTTTCGTACATAGTGGAGGGCACGATTTCATAGGTGTTATTGGCGGTGTTGATGCGAATGTACTGCTGAGGCGACGGGGTTGCCGCTGATGAAAAGTCATCGTCTTCATCCGATGGCGACATGACAAAGAAGTCGCCCTGGGAGGCGTTGGAGTCGTTCTGAGATGTGGGCGATGGACAGGGAGGGCCCTCAGAAGGCAACTGGTAGCCGTCCAAGGCCAGAATCTCCTCCAGACTTCTGATGTACTCCACAGCCATTCGCAGCGTCTCCACTTTGCTCAGCTTCTTGTTGCCGCGGCCGGTGTTGCTCTCGAAGGCCTGAGCAATGAAGCTGGGGATGTGCTGCCTTAAGTTGGCGAAGCCGTTGTTCACTTGCTTCACTCGGTTGCGTTCCCGCGCGTTTCTTCTAGCCACCGCGATCGGCTGCACGTTACTTTTCACTTCTTTGCCCCCCTTTTTGGGCCCTTTCCGCCCCGGATTGGTCAGCAGGATGTTGTCCTTCGGCTGCGGCAGGATGGGCGTCGCTTTTCTCAGCACAATGATTTGCCGGTCGCCCGATTTGGCCGAATGCTGATTGCTGCCGACACTCTGCTGCAGGATGTTCAGCTTCTGAGCGGCGGCCGCATTGTACTGAACCACACTGATCTGCGACATGCTACCGATTGATGTTCGCCAGCAATTAAAATCGCATTGTCTTCGATTAAGCTCACTTGAGTCGTGTTGGTCACTTGTTAAGGCGACGTTGTTTATTCCGGATGTGTTCAATTATGGTCGGATGGAGAGCGCGTGTTCTTTCAAATGGGTGAGGAAACCGACGACTGAAACTTTTCCCGATCTAATTTTAACGTTTGGCATGTGGCACGAGCGCGCGGATAAGAAACTCCACCCATTTTTCGGTCTGTTCGAAGGGTGTTTCGAGTCCAACAGCTGTTCGGTTGCGTTAAAAGCCGGCACATATGAGGGAGCCAGGAGAACCAGTGGTTGCAAACGAGCGGAAATATGGCCAAAGTATGTGACACATTTGCGGAAGTGTTTCACACATTAATTTACATTAATCGGAAAATGTGATTTGTGGATTTTTGGCGGAAAGTTTTTGATTGTTTCCACTTCATGCACAGCACTGGATCAAGCAGCTTCAAAATGGGAAGGTCTCTGACAACCCAGAAAACTCTTACAAAGTTTGACCAAAACCAGTAGTTTCAGCTAGTAATGGGCACTATCGAATGATTTTGACTATTGAATAATTAATAAATGAATGATTGCAACTATCGCATAAAAACATTCGAATGAATTTATCCATTGAACAGTGCGCGCTATCTAGTGCAGTGTAGGTCATTTGCAGATAACAAACTTATATTCTTTTGAAAATACAGGTTTCTAGTTAGTACGAACTAATTTAATACTGTACTTTATTCATAAAAAGAGCTCAGAGTAAATAGTAGCTAGATATTATTTACTCTGCGATGATGCGATTAATATCTATAAATATGCGTGAATTTATGCAAGCCATTGTTCGGATGTTTAGTACAGACCACCCGCGGTCTCCCAAGACGACGACGAAAAAAACGGAATTTCGGGGGCATCCGTTTCCCACTTTCCAAGAAGGGCTTTGAAAACCTTGGATACGATATAAGCCGCTTTCTTTGAAAGTGGTGAAAGTCCATTTTGTCAAAAAAAAAAGTTTATGATAAAAATAAATACAATTCATTATAACGTTTTCAAAAAAATCTGTTCAATTTTTGAACAAAAACCCAATTGTAATAAATCGATATTGAATTAAAAGTGAAAAATTTAATTGTTTAAAATTTGAATTCGTTTACTACAATGGAATTATGGCCATCGGATTTTCCGATAATGGTTATAAAACAAAAGAGTAAAACACTGCTATCGAACAACTAAAATGTATTACATTTCAAATTAATTCCTTAACTACTTAAAACTATCGAATATTAGGAGTCAATTTACGACTATATTAGGATCCATTTTGAGCCCGTTCAGAAAAGTACTAGAAGATTCAATGGGAAATATCTCGAAAACGGGCAGAGATATCGAGTTGAACCAAGTTGCAATTGCCACACCAATATTGCCAACAAAAAAGCGATATTAGAAAACCCAAAAAGTTCTGAGTTTTTAAATGGCACCAGTCTTCTTGCAACGCCCCCCAGAAACTTTATGCTAAGTAATAGGAAATTTGGATTCGTCCATCTAAAAAAAGCCTCAAACACATTTTTTTTGATAGCCGTAAAACTCGTTAAGAATCTATTTAAATAAACCAAAATTTTATTCAAACTTTGAGACCCTGTATCTCGGAAACTGTTAAGGCAAATTTGCATAAAACGCAATATTTTTGCGTAAAAAATTTCAGTTTAAATTTAGTTTAAAAAATATGAAATGACAAATTTCTTTAAAACGCATGGAGGTCTTTTAACCAATTTTTCCAGGAGTCAATAGCTAGGGAAGAGACAAGTTTTGCAATAAAATAATTTTCTTAAATTTTGCCAGTAGTGTGCGTACCTGCACGCGACCGAAACTGGTAAAGACAAAAATTGTACGCCACTGTATTTTTTAATTATTAAAATTACTTTTCAAAATCCTTGTTGCATTCCAAATAAAAAGTATATTTGCATTATTTGCTACCTCAAGCTGTTAAGATTCTGAAGTAAGATTTGTGGTAAGTGGGTCAAATTGGCCACATTTAATTGAGAACCATCGAACTGAGTTCATCTCATAGAAAGAGTGGATAAGTGTGTGGAGACCGAAGGTCTATTTTTTGAACACTTGGTAATTCGGTTTTTTATTGATAGTAAACGAGCACCTTTTAAAACATTTCAATATATTTATCTCCTTTAGGCACTACTCCAATAAAACGATGGTTTCCAATTAAATGTGTCCAAGTTGGCCTACCTACCAGAAATCCTACTTTAAAATCCTAACGGCTTGCCAAAGCAAAAACAATCAAGAAATTTATTTCATTTGCAATGAAAAAATAAATTTATGGGTATTGCATTTCTACCTAATTTTTTTATAGATACTATTTCTATTAACTACATTTGATCAAATGCTGAATTCGGCCACTTATTCAAATTCACTACTTTTCCATAAAATAACAGGATGTCGTGATGCCCCGATGGAAAATTTCGCCCCTTGCCAAATCCGACACTAATTTCAATTGACTGGATTTTTTCTTACACACATTTTGTTATTTAAATAATGAAAATCAGCTACAAATGTTGATGAGTTACGCCTTGAAAGAAACACCCTGTACACTTACATGTGCTGCGAAACATGCTGACCGTGAGTTTGGCCGAAAGCAGCCCATTTCCGAACCACTGGACTCATGAGGGACCCCCGATGGGTTTATGGTAAACAGAAACGGCTCTTTCATACAGGTAAGTCAGATTGGCGGGCTATTTGGGGCACTTTTTAGCCGGGATTTTCGAAAAAACCCTGACCCGGAAGCGTTCTGTCGGGAAGAGGAAGACGCTGGTCAGTTTGCTCCCGCCTTTCACTGTCCAGCTGATTCCCGGCCCATCACGAATGGAATTAAGCGCACGAAATTCGCACAATGTAACTGGATGTTTTGCGGTCGATAAAAAAAACTTTCTATCGAAAACCATTATCAGGCTCTTCGAGGAGAACCTCGAAGAGGTAAACCACATGTTGCGGGGTGGCAATTAGGCGCATATGTGCCACTTATGTATAAAACTATCTATTTTTATATGGGAGTGCGTATGCGACCGACATTTGGTTTGCAGCGCTATTTCGTGAAGTGCATTTCCTTGGCGAAACCATCGCAGCGCCCAGATGGTACCGTCTGGTCTGGTATGGTCTGGTCGGGCGAAAGTCGAGACAGATCGTTCAACTTGGGGACCCTTTAAATGTGCCAAATGTTCAGGGAAAGTCAAGGGATGGTTCAATGCCACTGTTGTTTATTCTTCGACGAAAAAACATCGTTGATGGTAGGATTTTGAACAAATGAAAACTGTTGCCAAACATTGAAGCAGACAAAACCTTTAAGCCGTTAAAGGCAATGTTCCGAGCCTGCTAGCCACTGTGTGAACCGATTTGGTACTAATTTACGACGAGTTTTATTTCCCTCAAAATCAATTAGGGAATCGCCGCCGGAAAAAAATCAATTGGGTGCGAAATCAGTTTTTCGAAGAGAAAATGCCCATAAAGTCCCTGCTGCGTTCGATGACCCATTTTGCAAGATACGTTTTTTCCGTTCGAGCTGATTTAGTGGTTTTTAATTGAAACTTAACGGCCGCACAGTCAAAGCGACGGCCAATCCCGAGGAATGGGCCCCAAAAAACGACCAGCAAGCTCGTTAATCGGGTTTATGGAACGCCATTCCTGCCATCACTGGATTGCGCTTTTAATTAGTTGAAAAAACCGTCACGTTTCGTTTGAACCGACGTGTTCGGATTTAGGACAAAAACATGTTGATTATCCCCTGTATATCGGCATGATGATTTTTTAATCGGTTGTGTCGTTAAGGTTTGGAAGCGCCGCTGATCCTGCGTCGGTTTAATGTCCATGTATATGCAAAAATCGCCTCAAATTGACCAAGTCCTTACAACTTAATGGAGGTTGTTGCACATGCACTTTTCAGTTTAAACGTTCACAACTCGCAAACTCGAACAGATCAAAGGCTGCAGAGTGGGGTTTCGGTCCTTTACAGAAGAGGCCTTAGCTGATAAGTGTGCAAAATAGCAATCGTTTCTCAGCATGCATTGAGGCTTCAGAATTTTTCAAATTGAATCAAAAATATAATTCTTTCTACCACCAAACGTTCCCCAGCAGATGGCATTGGCTAGAGAGAGTTGGCCACCTCCTAAAATCTTCTGCTGCCCTGATGCGAAATATTTTTTTCCTTTCTAACACCAACATTTCGCCTAAAGAGAGCATTTGTCAGAGTTGAGAGCAGTCCACAAAAAAAATTAGGCAACGCTAAACTCCTGCTGTTACTCGCTACCTTCTAAAATTTTCTGTTGCTCTGATGCAAACCTGATTTTTTTCCACCAAAATTTTACAAATTGAGAGCGTTTGCGTGCACAGAGATAAATAACGGAACCCTAAAGTCCTGGACCAGAAACTTGCTGGTTTCCTCCGAAGATTTTCTGCTTTCCGGATGCTAAATAAAAATTCTTTCTGCCACCAACATTTTGCCATTAGAGAGTATTTGGGCCTACATGAAATAAGATAACGCTAATATTCTGTTGCATTAACGCAAAATTATCAAATCATCATAATAGGTTAATCTGTTAGCAAGTGCAAAGCAATAGCAAGTGAGATTGTTTGCGGTGTAGCCTCGATACATTCGCTGTCTATAAGAATTTTTTTTATTGCAACAGTTTGGAAGGAAATTGGCTTCATATTGGCAAGCGTAAAACTCTCAAACTTGCACATGCTTCCACTCTTTACAGTTCTCAGTTATCAACACTTTTCAGAAATTCGAAAACCCTTAAAAGGCTAATAGATTTGGTGTACAAAGTGGTTTCAGGGACAAAGTTGATTTTGGTCATCGTTTCAGCGACAAAAGCGTTTAAATAGCAATCAAATCAAAAAGCGTTCAAATAATAAAAAGCATTCAAATACCTTAAGTGCAGGTTGTTCCTGGAAATAAGGTCTTTTGCTACAAGTTTGGCGGCGCACCAACATTTTTTAAATCCCAAAATGTATTGTTAGGAACAACCCAATGGCTTAAAAGCAATTTTGTAAATAAAATTTTTTTTTTCAAAAATTTTGGAAATTTTTTGAAAATAGTTAATGTTCGAAATTTTCACTTAAGAGTCGAATTTAGAGCAAAATTCCACTGTTCATTAACATGGTTTTCGTACATGGTTTCGGAGAAAATGGAACCTGAAGTTAGAGAGGCTTGACTTGTCACCCACATTGTTTGCATACTTATTTGCCCATAACTTCGCTACTGTTGGCAATATTTCAAAACGAAAAAATGCTCTGGATTTCCACGAGCATTCACTAGAGTTCAACTGTCTTGAGAAAAATCGACATTGGCAGTGGTTTGAAAGATAAAGAACCCTGATTTTGGTAATCGATCGACGGTCCATTTGCGCATACCTTCACTCTTTGACCTGTAACTTCGTTAAATGTGCAGATATTTCAAAATCTATAAAACCCGAAAAAGCCCAAAGAAGTAAATTCGCTTCATCAAATCCACAAATCTGCACATGTGAGCAGCATAAATGTTTACAAAGAAAAACTACAACCCTGGTTGCCATCTACTTCTACAAAATCAAATGCTGCCCTAATCCAGACAGCTGAAAATTTTCTAAAACCCCGATTTTTTGTCAAAAAAATCATTGAAGGGCGCTGGATGGCAAAAAATCCTGGCCGCTGAAATTTCCTAACGCGAATCATTTGGAAACAATGGTTTACTTAGAGTGTAAAATTTGACAAAAACAGGCCAATATCTAATTAAGTAGTCCGGGATCACTAGCAGACTCTTAGGGCGCTAACTGCTAAACCATCACAAAGCAATACACAAGTTCCTCCTACCTTTAGGCATTTTGGTCTGGATTCTACACTATTTTAACATTTTAATGCCGTGAAGATTACCTGCAAAAGAGACTTCTGTAGATAATCCCATTCATTAACTAAATGGGACTAAAAGCTCTAACCCTACATAACAACCAGGGGCAAAGTAATGCAAAACTTACCGAAAGCTGCATGGTGCCACCTGGAAAAAAAGAACAACAATCTTTAGTATTACAAATCAAAGTCAATTCCTGGGCCTCAGCCATTCATTGTCTATTCATCAATTAAAACACGTTATATATATACACACACACACATATATATATAATAATATATGCCAAGGCTTAAAGTAGCAACAACGCTACACATAGAAACTGATGATGGTGGAAAGCACCGAAACGTGTTTTAATTGATGAATAGACAATGAATGGCTGAGGCCCAGGAATTGATTTTGATTTGGAATTGAAACACAGTCAGGAAAGTATGTACAATTTAGTATTACAGAAAGTTAGTCAAAAGTTTAATTATTTAAAATGAACAAATTAAATTAAGAGAAATAAAAATTGCCTTCAACTTCAGTTGCAATTCGAAAAACTAGACTCACTTCAAGCCAAGAGACCCAAATTAGAAGCAATTCTTACCAGCTCTCTGCCAACTGGCGTCCCATACTTTATTTTCTACCCATTAGGCCTCGAAAAAATCAAACTACATTTTAACAAGCAATAAAGATCCACTCCGAATTGAAAACTTTTACCATTTTCCGAAGGCAGCGAACTGTTGGATCGTCACTTTGGATCCACATTCAATGCTTCGACAGAATACGAAAATTGCTTTTCACACGAGCTCTCGATTTAGCAATTTGCTCAATTTTTTGAAAACTGTGGAAACTGGCACTTCTCCACGTTCATAAAACCATACCGATTGAAGTGGAGGAAGTCAAGACAATAGAAGAAAATTGATTTTGTTTTTTGTGATTTGATTAAAATGGCTTCGACAAAATATTGTCTGAATTACATTTATTGAATTGAAGCTGGTCCTGACTGAATCTCTGCTACATGACTCCACGACTTGAAAGATGAATCCTCTTTTGCTGCCCTGATTGCGACATTAACTGTCTTTTTACTATCAAAATCTTCCCAATAGAGATGATTTGCACTGACAAGAAATAAGGTAACGCTAAACTTCTGCTTCTTATATTTGCTACTTCCTTAACTATTCTGCAATTGCCGCAAATAGAGCAAGGGCGGATCCAAGGGGGGGGGGGTCATGGTCAATTTTTCTAATTTCATACACAACAAAAGTCTGAATTTCTACTACTTGACCCCCCCCTGACTCAAAAGCTGGATCCGCTCCTGAAATTCAGAGAGGATACGTCCGCAAAAAAATAAAGTGATGCTAAACTCGTGCTCCTCAAACCTTTGCAGCCCCGATTCGGACTAAAATTCCATTTGACCATTAAAGAAAATTTCACTAATAGAAAGCGACTCAAAGGTATTTTTTTGCGAAATGCGATGAATACATTCTTCACTTTCCGCCACCATCAAACCCATCATTCGAATGAATCGCCCGCCGCATTGTCCCAATTGCGATGCACAACCCATAGTTTAAGCCCTTAATAAAACATCTACTTGTACGTACACGAAAATGCATCCGATAATCCCAAAGGGGGATGATCGACAGCTGTTCCTCAGCTGAAACGGAGAAAAAAATTAACCGTTTTTGTGCCATTTCGCTTGCACGCACTGCCGCGTTCATCTGGGAGGAAACGAGACGGATTCAGGTACCTGGAGGGCATCTATCGGACACGTTCCATGCCACGCGTCCCAAATCGGGATGAAATTTGCACAACAATCGCGTTGGGAGTTCTTTTGTGCTCGCCCGGTATAACTGCCAGCGATTCGAATGAGTTATTGAATTCATCCCTCGCTCGATAAAACCGTGATTGATGGCCAACTCTTGAAAATTACTGAAAAATCCAAATTTTGCAAGTGTGAGAGTTTTCACAGGCACCCTTGCAGTTGAGGCTGGGAACGACTCGAAAAAAAAGATAAATAACGGATTTCTGAGACCCAGATTTTGGCAGACAATGGGAGGTTTTTCAGGTAAAAACGCGCAATCCCGTAACGAAAAAGTATCAAATTTGTAAATTCTCAAAGTAGAAACAGGGGCGCTTTATTCGCGAATATTCTGCCCTCCTTGGGAGTTTTTGCATTTTAACGGTTTATGAGTGTCGTTTAGTGCGTAGTCAAACAAAATTCATGGTTAATTTTTTTTAAAATCAATTTAAAGCAGTTGGATTTTTTTGACGGATGGCTCACAAGATTCTACCAAACAGTTGCTAGTCACCACCTTCCTGTAGTAGGCGGCTGATTCTTTGGGCGTTCTTGTCCTGTTGGGGCTGTTGAAGTCCACATGGTAGTGCCCCAGATTGTTTCTGCAAAGCCCCAAAAAATGTCCTCTTTGCGTCAAGCTTTTACGACATTTCTTACGTCCATCCCGCATACCACTCGACGTCATTCATCAAGCTCCAGGCCACGTAGCCAATGAGATTCACGTCATCCTTGTAAATGGCATCGTTTAGGTTGCTCAAGTACATCTGGAATCCAAAAACAAAAACGCTCCCAATTCGCTCTCCAAATCGCCGTTTCATACCTTGTGGTAACGTCCTCTGGTATCCAAATCCTCCATCACATTTCCCGAATCGGTGTATCCATTTTCAGTGACAATGATGCCCTTCTCGTCGCCATAAGTGTCGCGAATCCAGCGCACCAAATGGCGAGCCCCCCAAGGAACCACCTTTTGAGTGGGATTAGGAAACGTGCACGCAAAAAACTAGCTGGGACTTACCTTGAACCAATCAGATACTGTTTTCTCCCAATCGTCCGGCTGATAGGTGCGCACGCGAAAGTCTGCCCCCAGACTAATTTCCTCGACTGGGGCCTCCTCTTTATCAGTGGCCAGCACTGTTGTGTACATGTTTACTGCCAGAAAGTCGTAGCTGCCTTTCAGCTCCTCCTTTTCTTCTTCGGTAAATGAGGGCAACCTCGACTCACTCAGTCCCTGCTCGGCGCTTCGCCTATCCACTCTTTCCCTCATCACTTCCGGATAATCGCCATAAACAATGGGATGGGCATACCAACCGTACTACAATCAAACAGTTGCTCCCATTGCTATCCAATGACCTTTTTGGTTTTCCTCCATTTACTCACAGTGGTAAGACTGCCGCGTTCCGCGGCCAGAATGTCTTCGCTGGAATTAGTGGCGGGTTCCACCCAAGACTCGTCGATTACCATCGAAACTTTTCCTTTCTGGGTGGCTCTGAAGCGCTCGTCGTACACTCTGTAGGCTTTGGCATGCGCCCGCAGCAAGTTGTGGGCACAAATGTAGGCGCCCCGTCCCGGATGTAGGTTCTGGGGGGAGAAGCCGCCAGAGTCATAACCTCCAGAGCAGGTTTGCTTCGGCTCGTTGAAAGTCGCCCACCACTTAACATCTTCCCCAAAGTTCTCGAACAGGAGGGTCGCATAGTCGACAAAGGCCGGAATAATATCCTGCGAGTTCCAACTTACTCCCAACTCCAAAAGTCCCACTCTCTGCTTACCTCGTTCAAAAATCCGCCTTCATCTTCAATAATACGCGGATTGTCCCAATGGTGCATGGTGACCAGAGGCTCGATGTTGTTTTCCTTGAGTTTCTGTATGAGGTCGCGATAGTAGGCCAGGCCTGGAACAAGTAGGGAACTAATCAGGTGAACTGATTTGTTGGGGGCGTTTCCGTACCTTTTTCGTTGATGTTGTCTATGCGTCCAGTGGGAAGAACTCTGGGCCATGAGATCGAGAATCGGTAAGTGTTCACGCCCTGGCGCTTCAGCAGCTCTAAAATTGCGCAAAAATTATTCCTTCGACTGTTCAACTGGCCTCAACTTACCAATGTCCACTTCAGTGTTATGATAGGCATCGCAACCAACATCGCCGTTTTGGCCTTCTGGAAACCAATCCGGGTTGTTGTGGGCGTCGAAATCCCAAATGCTTTCACCTGCCAATGGAACTTGTTGCATTAATCCCGGGGCTGCATTAAACTGAGCTTACCTTTCCCATCCTCATCCCAAGCGCCTTCGACTTGGTAAGCAGCCGAAGCGTAGCCCCACATGAATCCCTCGGGAAAGGCGATGTTGCTGACCTCGTCGCTGAAGAGGTGGGCGTGACTACCAGGAGTTCCTTCCCCTTGACTGGAAATGATTCACCATTAGCTACCTTTGAAACATGCACTGCAGGCAATTTACCTTTGGGCCACCAGGCCACAAAACGCTGCTAAAACCAGCGCACTCAGTCTCATTTTTTGACTTTCACACACTTTCCCAAACTCATTGCGTTATATACAAGAACCAGGTGCTTGAGCTAGATAACGCGATTACATGCGAAATGTCCCATCAAGTGTTTTTTGCGGAAAACATATAAGATATGTTGATGATAAGGACACTAACTATGTTGTTTTGAAGATTGGTTTTGCATAACAATCGATTAGCGTCAACAGGAATTTTCAAAAATTTCCTTACTTTTGGTAACAATTTGAGTGATTAGGTTGTTATCCACGCCGATTCAAAACACTTCAAAGTACATTTGATTGCGCACAAATTGATAGTTTGTCCTAAAAACTCGCATTTATGCTAACGGTTTTAAATGGGGAAAGGTACAAGATTTAGTGGTGCTCGACTTAATAAAATAGCCTTTGCTCAAAGCTTTTTATGAAGTCAAAGCGAAAGCTACAAGCTGCCGCCTGAAAGTCAACAAATGCCACTGTCGCTTGTTTGATTAATCGCTTTTAAACGATAAGAGCTAGAGAGTTGCTAGCTTCTGCCTTCAATAGCAATAAAGTGGCTCAGCAAAGCCTGCAAATTTCAAAATGCTGGCTTCATCAGGAATTTTGTGAATGTAAATTTTTTTTCGTTGCAGACTGAAAGTGAGCTAATGCAGCTTTCATTTCTTTAATTCGCATTTTCTAAACCAAGGTGCCACAGGATCCTTTATTTTTGCTCAGATTAGACGAAAAGCTGTTTAGTAAAGCGTACAAATTTCAAAATGTTCGCTATATCAGGAATTATTTTCTGATTTTTTTAAGTTGCAGCCTTAAAGTGCGAAATGCAGCTCTCACTATTTTAATTCATATCTTCTAAACAAAGATGTCTCTGTTATTTTTTTGCTCTAAATAGACTAAAAGCGGTTTAGTAAAGGGTACCAATTTCAATATGCTCGAATTATCGGGAATTTTTTGAGAACTTTTTAAATTGCAGCCTGAAAGTGAGTAAATGTAGCTCTCATTTGTTTATTTCATATCCCTTAAGCACAGTTGCTACGCACTCTGTTTGATTAGACGAAAAGTCGTTTACAAAAGTGTACAAAGTTGGAAATGTGGCCATTATCGCGACGTTTTTTTTTAATTTTTTTAAATTTCGACCTGAAAGTGAGTAAATGCAGCTCTCACTTTTTAATTGAAATCTTATAGACAAAGCTGCCAGAGACTTGGTTATTTTTGATCGGAAAAGAGGAAAATTTGCCTAGTAAAGTTTGCAAATTTCGAAATGCTGGCATCATCGGAACTTTTTGTGGAGATTTTGAAAGTTGCAGCCTGAAAGTGAGTAAAGTCACAAAATCGGTTATTTTCGCTCTAAATAGGAAGAGAGTTGCTTTGTCAAGTGAGTGAAATTTTTTTGAGAACTCTTTAAGTTGAAGCCTGAATGTAAGAAAACGCAGCTCTCCTATTTTTACTTGCTATCTTCCAAGGCAAGATACTGCCAACTCTAATATTTTTGCTCTAAACCGAGGGAACGTTTCTTAGTAAAACACGTAAGTTGTCGAATGCTGGCATCATCAAGATTTTCTACGACAATTTTTTCAAGTTGCAACCTGAAAGTGAGTTATGCAGCTTTCATTTGTTTAATTAATTTGTTCTAAACGAAGCTGTCGCGGACGACACTATTTCTCCCTAAAGGGAGGAAAAATTGTGTAGTAACGCATGCGAGTTTCGATGTTCGGGCCTTATGCCAGAAATTTGTTTGAAAATGTTTTAAGTCGCATCCGGAATGTGACTAAATGCAGCTCTCATTTGTTTAATTCATATCTCATAAACAAAGATGCTACGCACTCTCTTACTTTCGTTTTGATTAGAAGCAAAGTCGTTTACTAAAGTGTACAAATTTCGAAATGCTGCCATCATCGCAACGTTTTTTTGGATTTTTTTTTAAATTGCAACTTGAAACTGAGTAAATGCAGCTCTCACTTTTTTAATTCAAATCTTATAGGCAAAGCTGTCGGAGACTTGATTATTTTTTTTCTGAACAGAGAAAAATTTGCTTAGTGAAGTGTGCAAATTTCGAAATGCTGGCATCATCGAAACTTTTTATGGGGATTTTTAAAGTTGCAGCCTGAAAGTGAGTATATGCAGATTTCACTTGCTTAATTCATATGTCCTAAATGAAGCTGTCACAAACTCGGTTATTTTCGGTTACTCGGTTAAATACGAGGAGAGTTGTTTAGTAAATTGTACGAATTTCAAATAAATGCTGACATCATCAGAATTTTTTAAGTTGAAGCCCGAATGTAAGAAAATGCAACTCTCATGTTTTTAACTCCTATTTTCAAAGGCAAGATACTGCGAACTCTATTATTTCTGCTCTAAATAGAGGGAACGTTTCTTAGTAAAACACGTAAGTTGTCGAATGCTGGCATCATCAGGATTTTCTCCGATAATTTTTTGAAGTTGCAACCTGAAGGTGAGCAAATGCAACTCGCATTTGTTTAACTCAAATCTCCTGAACGCAGAGGGCATGGACTAAAAAATTTCTGCCCTAAATATAGAAAAGGTTGCCTAGTAAAACATAGCATGTTTTAGGAAATTGTTGAGCTCGCAGGGATCACTAAAAATTTTCAAACTCACTAGTCGATTTTTTTAAATATCTCTTATTATTCCGGTTCTATCAAATTTCACAACATAATTCTTTTCGTCGCAGGCTGACAGGAATCTAACAAACAATTGGTAGTGACCACCTTCTTGTAGTAGGCGGCGGACTGTTTAGGCGTCCTGGTTCTGTTGGGGCTGTAGAAATCCACATGGTAGTGGCCAAGGTTCGTTCTGAAACCCACCTTGCAATCAACAGGTCCGCTGGTTATCTGCGAAAATTCTTACGTCCAGCCCTCGTACCATTCAACGTCGTTCATCAAACTCCAGGCCAAGTATCCGAACAGATTCACGCCGTCCTTGTAAATGACATCGTTCAGGTTACTCAGGTACATCTGGAAGCAAATTTATGAAACTCTCCATCTCCTTGTAGAATGTTTTAGGTTCTACTTTGTGGTAACGTCCTCGGGTGTCCAAGTCCTCCATCTCATTGCCAGTGTCTTTGTAGCCATTTTCTGTAACAATGATGCCCTTGTCGTCGCCGTAAGTGTCGCGGATCCAGCGCACCAAGTGGCGAGCCCCCCAAGGAACCACCTTATTTGAAGAGAAAGGAAAATTCATTTGTGAGTGGGAAAACAAGAGACTTACTTTAAACCAAGAGGAGGCAGTTTTTTCCCAATCATCTGGCTGGTAGGTGTGCACGCGAAAGTCCGAGCCCAGACCGATTTCTTCAATTGGAGCCTCTTCCATATCTGTGGCCAGCACTGTCGTGTACATGTTTACTGCTAGAAAATCGTAGCTGCCTGTCGAAGACAAAAAAAGAACACTGAACAATAAAATTTCAGCAGTTTACTCCTTTGCACCTTTTAACTCCTCCTTCTCCTCGTCCGTGAATACTGGAAGTCGCGACTGGTTGAAGCCTTGCAAAGCGCTCCGCATGTCCACCCGTTCCCTCATAACCTGTGGATAATCGCCAAAGACAATTGGATGCGCATACCAGCCGTACTAAAATAAATCTGTCAGTCAAAGTTTTCTAACCAATCGCCCGACATTCACTTACGTTAGTAAGACTTCCACGCTCAGCGGCCAGAATGTCGTCACTAGAATTAGTGGCCGGCTCTGTCCAAGATTCAGTAATAATCATGGAAATTTTGCCGTTCTGAGTGGCTCTGAAGCGCTCATCGTACACCCTGTAGGTTTTGGCGTGCGCCCGCAGCAAGTTATGACCGCAAATGTAGGCCCCTGTGCCCGGGTGGAGGTTCTGAGGCGAAGAACCTCCAGTGTCGTAAGCTCCGGAGCAAACTTGATTCGGCTCGTTGAAGGTTGTCCACCACTTCACGTCGTCTCCGAAGTTCTCGAAGAGCAACGTGGCGTAGTCGACAAAGGCATCAATGTAATCCTGAAAATTCCTTCTCCAGAAACAACAGCCGTAGTTGGCCAGTAGTTTACCTCGGTGAGAAAGCCGCCTTCGTCCTCAATGGGGCGCGGATTGTCCGCATGATGCATATTGATAAAGGGCTCAATGTTGTTTTGCTTCAGCTTCTGGATGAGGTCCCGATAGTAGGCCAGTCCTGGAACCTTTTTGGTATAAATTGGCGAAAACTGATACTTGGTATGCACCTTTTTCGTTGATGTTATCAAGGTGGCCGGTTGGCAGCACTCTGGACCAAGACACCGAAAACCTATAGGTGCTGACGCCTTGCCTCCTTAGAAGTTCTATTGTAAGTTTAAAAATTAACCCACCAATTTAACCTCAGTTTCGACTAGAAAACACTTGCCAACATCCACATCGGTGTTGTGGTAAGCGTCGCAAGCAATATCGCCGTTCTGTCCCTCAGGAAACCACTCTGGCCGATTGTGGGCATCGTAGTCCCAAACACTTTCACCTAGAATTCGGTTCATTACTTTGCTGGCGGTTCAATGTAAGGGAAAATCAAGGTGCCTTTTCCATCCTCATCCCAAGCGCCTTCCACTTGGTAGGCTGCCGAAGAATATCCCCACATGAACCCATCTGGAAAGGCCATATCACTCACTTCGTCGCTGAAGAGATGAGCATGGCTGCCAAGCGTTCCTTCGCCATGGCTGGAAATATGGAGAAGTAATGGCAAACTATGGAAATTAATGGAAATGCGGTTACCTTTGGTTGAGAAGATAAGCAAACAAAAACACGGCAATTGTGTGCTTCATAGCTGCCATTCAAAGGCGGCTTTTGTTTTTGGTGGGCTTATATACAAAGATAACGGGTCTAAAGTGGGACAATTTGAATTTTAAGTTGTTATTTATTTAGAAAATACACAAAACAAGGGTACTTGAATTGAGTGTAAACACCGCTGATTTTTGGGATTGTTTTCAAGCACTTAACAGAGAAAACGTGATATAATAGTCATGCGATACTCAGCGATAGTAGGAAATCATGACTTCCGTGAACGTAGATTAACATGAACCATGAAGGTTTTGTATGTTGAAACCCTAGTGCTTTTACCCTTGGCGAAAAATTGAATAAAACCTATATTCCCGCAAACGCAAATGCGCCAATTAACCCGATATTACCCGTGTTTATTTTTCTATGGAAAATACACTAATCGGGTCCTTAATTTTAATGTGTTTAGACAATTCCGAATCCGGGACTCTTGAGTCCAACACTTGAAAGAGCAAACATGATCAGTAATCCGAAATATTGACTTCTGTGTCCTTAGATTAACATTAAGCATGCAGGCGTCATAGAATAAAAGCGCTAACGCGTCTCAAATTTGCAAAAATATTAAATTTATCTAGAAATTCTTGAGAACGACGAATGTGCCACTAAGACCCAATTGCTTATCCCAATCCCAATAATCGCGCATAGCCACAACGATTACTCCTAGTATATTCATCCGGTTTTGACTACTAATCATGTAGTTTATCTCTGAAAACCCGTTACGGTTTCCACGTTTCTGATATTTTAAAAAACGTAGAATAAAGTATCCAGTTTCTCACAAAATCGAATGCGCCAATTGCAGCTTTAATCTAAGCCAATAAGCGTCTGGTTTTTTACATAGATAATAGACAGAAAATACTCTTGAGTCAAGAATATAGACACGTTTTTCGACACTGCTTCCAGGAGCGCAGATTATCATCAAATATACAGGTTTTCTCCATTAAAATCTCTAATTATAATATCATTTACAAAAACACTGATTGAAAAAAATTAAATTCCGGATAAATGTTCAGCACGGGTCTAGTTTTTATTGGAAAATACACAAAAAGGTTCGAGTCGGAGTCGAGTGTCTACATAGCTATTTTCCGGGATTGTGTTAACACCGCGGCTTTTTGGGTTGTTGAGCACCGAAAAAATAAATAAAGTGATCAATATTCACAAAAATTGACTTTCAGTAGCCAGAAAAGTAAAAACCCTCACTATTTGAAAATTAGCTGCAATTCCGACGAATGCGCTACTTAAAACCAATTGCCTTCCAAAATCGGCTCTAAATTAAACCAACCCAATATTGGCGCCCAGCCAGTACATTCATGTAACGTAGCTTCAGAGTTCACTCTGAAAAGGCGTCAGGGTTTCAAAGATCTGCAAAAAGTTAAATTAAATATTCGATTTTTGACAAAGGCGAATGCGCCAATAGAAGCGATTGGATTATCAAATATCGACCTTCAAGAGCGTAGACGAACATGAAACGTAGTTCTTTTTTCAAATATTAATTTTTACTAATTTATTTTTTTTGGCTTTATTTTGTATAAATATTTTATATTCTTGACAAAGGCTTTGTTATTGACACACCGTCACTTTCTGACGCTGTGTGTAAGCATTAGAAAAAAGATAATCCATTATTATAAGAATGGACTTTCGTTAGTTCCGAAACGTTAGAGCTTCCTGCTTGCATCCAGTAAAAAAAATGCAATTCCTGACTGAGCCATAGGCGACTCAGTCAGTAAAAACCTTCGCAAATCCGACCCAAATTAAATCAAACAGTGGCGCATAGCCAGAACAATTACCCACAGTAATTTAGTAGGTCATAAACTAAACGTGCATTTTACTCCGAAAAAGCGTTTGGGTGCAACGCTTTTCATATTTGCAAAAACGTGGAATAAAAAATCCAATTTCTAACAAAGGCCAATGCCCCGCTTGAAGCGGTAAGTGTAGTTAAATCCTAATTTAGCCAGGCCAACAAGTGTCGGCTTTTTTGGATAAAACATAAAATTCCTCGTTATTGTGATATTGCGCTGATTCTGTTCTGTGTAAAATATTATGTTCCTATTAAAGGCCCAGTAAACATCTGGCTTTTTTTAATGGAAAATCCACAAAAAGACCATTGAATCGAGTCTACACAGATATTTTTTGGGATTGTGTTAACACTGCTATTTTTAATCACCTGAAAAAAGTGATCGATAATAATAAGAAAATTGACTTCCAGAGGCGAGCAGCAAAAGTCTGGCGCTAGTAAAATGTAAAAAACCCAAAAACAGTGAATCAATAATGCAATTCCTGATTAAGGCAAATGCACGCCTAAAAACCTTCGAAAATCGGACCCAAATTAAGCCAACCCAATAACGGCGCACAGCCAGAACTAGCGATTTTAAAATCACTGTTATAAAGTGAATTGAACTGTGAATTCAACCTGTGAATGTGATTTCAATTGTGGTTGCGTTTTCGTGATATAGCAGAGGCATAAGGTGATGGGCAATTTTTCGCCACTTGCAGAAACAATTTTAAAATATTTGTAATTCATATTTTTTAAATAAATAACCTTAGTTAGGTATACAACGAATAATATTTTATACTTAAAGTACAAATTATTTTAAGGCCACTAAACAATTGCAGCCTCTGCATCTAGCAACTGGCTACACACAGGGGCGAATCCAGCTTTCGAGTCAGGGGGGGGTCAAGTAGTAGATATCATAATACATAAATCTTTGTGAACAAGGTATATTTGATTTTAATTTTTGATCTGAAGAAAACTTTATTTGAGTGAAAATGGGTTCAAAAATATTACTTCCCTATCCTTCGAGAAAATTTTCTGAATTTATTGATATTGTGAGATGCCGCATTTCATGTGCCGCTTCAAATTTGACGTACTTGATTTGTAAGATAACTTTGCTTTGCATAAATTGCATTTTGCAAAATTATTAATTGCAAAAATATTACTTCCCTATCCTTCACAAAAATTTTCAGAATTTATTGATATCGTAGGATGTTGCATTTCATGTGCGGTTTCAAATTCGACGTACTTTTGCATTTTGCAATTTGCAAAATTATCATCTAATGCAGAAAAGAAAGTCCATAAAAAAGTAATTTTCCATCGCTTAGCACAAGCCATAATAAACAATTTCAATTGGAAACAATGAACAAAACAGAAAAACTAAGCGTATTCCCAGAAAATAATTTTTTTAAATATACAAAACTGGCCTCCGACACACAATCAGAATACGGCTAATGAATGGTGCATACTAAAATAGGTTCCTAAAAATATCAATACAATCTGGGCTCATGGGAACTCGTGAATGCAAGCTTTCATTAGCGAACAAAATAATTTTATTTGGGTTTGTTCTTTCCTTCTTTCGCTCTTTATTTAGCCGTATCTATAGTTCCTTCACCGGGTCACATGCAACTCTCGCAAAAGCAAACGTTGCTCTTTAATATCACGTCTGGGACCATCACGTTTTAAATCACTGTTTATTTTTACGTTCGTCACAGATTGTGATTGCGATTTCTTAATCACTGTAAAAAATCACGGACAGTGATTTCTTGCTCAACTCTAGCCCGAACGATTTTCCACAGTACATTTCAGTGGCGGCGCCAGCTTTATTTTCCGCTTGGGCGAAAGCCGGCGGAAATTGTCGTGAAAGTTCGTGTAGCGATAGAGCCAAATCAATGACTTCTTTTTCCTCTAAATGAAAATCTTTGGTTCTTGTCCTAGCAGGAAACAAGTACCCATATTTAGACTCGAAAATAATTTTTTAATATTAAGTTACTTAAAAATTTACTTTTCAATTCCCGAACAACTCGGAATGTTTTCACGTTCACTATCATTATTGTTGAATTTGACCTGATTTTTTTAATTCGCAAGTATTTATACGCTATTAAAAGCGGTTGGGCGAGGCAAATTTTTGATGGACGCTCGCCCAATCTCGCTCACCCCTAGCGCCGCCACTAAACGTGCAGTTTACTTTAAAACTAGGGTAAATTTGCGGAAAGTCACTACGTATTTTCAAACAATGGACATTACATCTGATCGTCTAGACCACAGTCCCAACAATAACTAAGTTATGGATATGGCATGCAAATGCACCGAAAAATTAAAGCCACATTTCACCTAAGAGACTAATCGATACCGCTTTAAAGCGTAAAACCGACCCTAAAAAATTACAATATTCAACCCCCAGAAGCTTTTATCAAAATAATGTCCTTTAACTGACCTGCTCGCGGGCATTATTATGGAGTTTTTGTTGCTATGAGCGGCTAATTCCATTGTGAGGGACTGGAATTTTGTTGACTTCTTTTATATTCAAATCGGATGTTATCAAATGCAGAAATTAAAATATACCTTGACCCCGGTTTTTTACATTGCTTGTACCGTTAACGAGGATTTGCTCGGATCGGTTTCACTCCGGAGAAAATAATGGTGGAAAGCCAGATGGGGACAGTCGTTCAGCGATAATAAGCTATTCACTTTCACGTGGTTGAATGAGGAGAACTCCAAGCAAGCAAATCAATGCAAAGATCCCCAAATGGTCGAGCCACTTTACATTCATATTGTCATCGTGATTATTTGAAAAAATGGAAATTTTGTGTATCTTTGACCCAGGAAAGGCGACGTCATTAACCATCAACGTGCGGCGAACAATGGCTTTAGCTATCAAAAATTCCTGTATAAATCGAAATCAAAGCATCAGCGATTCAGTTTTTGTTAGCTAGTGAAGAGCTACGGTCATTGAAAAATGACAGTGCTGGTAAAACGGCAGTTACATTATCTAGAACTTAAAAAACACAGAATTTGTCTTCACAGGGAGCTGAAAGCTTCAACAATGCCTCATTCATGCCCAACATGTGGGCGACCATTTTCATCGGAATCCTGCTCATGCTGACCATCTATCATTTCTGGCTGCAGTCGTTGCGCTACATAAAACTGGGCAATAAAATCCCTGGACCCGCACCTTGGCCCATCGTGGGCAACATGCTGATGGCCATCGGCAGGAACCCTATTGGTAATCTCCCCTTGACACAATAACTCCAATTTCCAGCCAATTCCATTTCAGATATGATGAAGATGGTGCTGGATATTTACCACAACTCGAAGAGCGACGTGCTGAAAGTCTACCTGGGGCCGAAGCTCTACGTGGCTTTGTCCAACCCCCAAGACATAGAGGCAAGCATTTGATCCGGACATAAGGCTTAACACTCTTTAACACGCTCCCTTTCAGCTGATCCTCGGCAGCCATGTTCATCTGGAAAAGTCCTGGGAATACGAACTGTTCGAGCCTTGGCTGGGCGAGGGTCTTCTGATCAGCAAAGGTCAGTTGCATGCTCCCTCAGAGTAGTCACTTAAACCAAACAATTCATGTAGGCGAAAAGTGGAGGACGCACCGCAAGATGATTGCGCCGACGTTCCACTCGTCCATCCTCAAGTCATTTATGCCCGTCTTCAACAAGAACGCCCGCGTTCTGCTGCAGCAGCTGGATAAAGTGAAAGGGCAGGAGTTTGATGTTCACGACTACATGAGCGGAACCACTGTGGACATTCTCTTAGGTAAGCAGCGGCAAACCGAGGTTCGCCAGCAGAGGTTATATACATTTTCTTTATAGAAACGGCAATGGGAGTGAAAAAAACCGAAGAGGACAACACGGGCTTTGAATATGCCAAAGCCGTGATGGAGTAAGTAAAAAGGCTTCTTTTCAAACCTACAAGAAACTTCTTGTCCTACTCCAATTCGTTAGCATGTGCAACATCCTCCATTTACGGCACTACAAAGTATGGCTGCGACCCTCCTTCATTTTCAAGTGGACCAAGATGGCCTCAGAACAAACCAAGCTGCTGCAGCTGATCCACAGTCTGACTAGAAAGGTGCTGCATTCACCCGACTCGCGCCAAATCTAACGGGAACTTTCAGGTCATCAAACGGAAAAAAGACGACTATTTTGTACGCGCCTCCAAACAGGAGAGCAGCCTGTATAAGGAGGCGCTCAAAGAGGAGATGTTGGACCTCAATGCGCCAGCAAAACCAAATGAGCGAACCGAAAACTACAAGTATATCAGGGATGACCTGGAAGACATCGAGGACAACGACGTTGGCGAGAAAAAGCGCCTGGCTTTCCTGGACTTTATGATCGAAGCCAGCCAAACGTCTGGAACCAAGCTGACTGACGAGGAAATCAAAGAAGAAGTTGACACCATTATGTTTGAGGTTTTATTTCAACCGACCAATGCAGAACTTGCGGCAAAGAGTTTAATTTGCAGGGTCACGACACAACTGCAGCCGGGTCCAGCTTCGTCCTGTCTATGTTGGGAGTGCATCAGGATGTGCAGGAAAAATGCGTAGCCGAGCTAAAGGAGATTTTCCAGGACGACTGGACTCGCCCTATCACCTTTTTCGACACCCTCCAGATGAAGTACCTGGAAAGAGTGATCATGGAAACGCTGCGCTTGTATCCGCCAGTGCCAATAATTTCTAGAAAAATCAACGAAGACGTGCAACTAGGTAAGCGAGTAGAACGGTATAAATTGTAAAATTAGCTCAATTTTATTCAAAACCGCATTGCGATATTTGCGTGCGTTCTTGAATATAAATTTTTTTTATTCCACACCCACATCAAGTTGCCAAAGGAGGAGACATAAATTGCGCCTCCCTTCGATCTCCAATTAATTATGCTTGTGGTTGAATACAAATGATGGCGCGTTAAAAATCAACCAAAAAAACTGCATTAAGCGAGCTCTTTTCCAGTCACTTGCGACCTGACAATACCAGCGGGCAGTACCATCTTAATATCCCAGTTTGCCACGCATAAACACCCGAAATATTGGGAGAACCCGGACGTGTTCAATCCAGACAACTTTCTGCCGGAAAAGTGCCAGGACCGGCACTATTATGCCTATTTTCCTTTCAGTGCCGGCCCGCGAAGCTGCGTGGGTACGTAGAAAGACAATTGCTGTCCCTGTGTGGTTAAACTGTGTGTTTCAGGTCGCAAATACGCCATGCTTAAGCTGAAAGTGATCCTGGCCTCGGTCTTAAGACAGTTTGTGGTCACGTCGCTCAAGCAGGAGAAGGATTTCATGCTGCAGGCCGACATCATTTTGAAAAGGGCCGACGGATTTGGAATCACCATCAAGGACAGGGTGGTCAACTGATTTGTGTTTATATGTGCAGATATGGAAATAAATAGGATTAGATTATGGTTTTTGATTTTTGATTGAGTGCCTAAATTATGTTAATAGCATTATATCATCACCGGTTCAGTAGGAATAGTGATGCGACTAAGTGAGCAAGGAACAAGTGAGCAGAAGAAATGAAACAGCGAAAAGACCATGGATGAAGCACGATATAATTAACCCTATGACACGAAAAGCGTATACACAAACATACCAACAAGCAACTAGAAAGGAAGAATGTATGGCAGAGTTTTAAAACATGCAGATTTTTTTTTAAATTAAATGCTCTGTTGCTTTTATTATTTGCGAAGACTTTGCATACATATCTTAAATTCTTGACAAATACTTTTTTATTGAAAAACACCATAGTTTTTGTAAGCATCGGAAAAAAGATATTTCACAAGTATAAACATGAACTTCCAGATGCAAGCAGGAAAGCTCCAACGTTTTTAAAAATTGCGAAAACAGTGAATAAAACAGTGAATTCCTAACTGAGACGTAGATGCCTTAGTCAGTGAAAACCTTCGCAGATCGGACCCAAATTAAATCAGACAAATAATGGCGCATTGCCAGAACAATTACCTACAGTAATTTAGTAGGTTCTAAACTAAACGTGCATTTTACTCCAAAAAAGCGTTTGGGTGCTGTTAACACCGCAGCTTTTTGAGTTGTTCAGCACTGAAAAAAAAACAATGTGATCGATATTCACAAAAATTGACTTTCAGTAGCGAGCCGGAAAACTCTCACTATTTGAAAATTTATTAAAACATTTGGAAACAGTAATTCCCGATGAAGACGAATGCGCCACTGAAAACCAATTGCCTTCCAAAATCGGCTCTAAATTAAACCAAACCAATATTGACGCTCAGCGAGTACATTCATATAACGTAGCTGCGCATAAAAGGGCAGTTTACTCTAAAAAGGGTTTAAAAGATTTTAAAAAATGTTAAAGTAAATATCCGATGTCTGACAAAGCCGAATGCGCCAATAGAACCGATTGGATTGTCAAATATGGACCTTCAAGAGCGTAGATAAACATTATATATACAGGTTTTTTTTATATTAATTTTTATAATTTTATTTTTTTTGGCTTTGCATAAATATTTTATATTCTTGACAAGGGTTTTTTCGTTGGAAAACACTGTCGCTTTTTGACGCTGTTTGTAAACATTAGAAAAAAAGTGGTCCATAATTATAAAAGTGGACTTGAGCAAACAGTGAACAAAAAATGTAATTCCTGACTATATATTGGTCATGTTTAGAGGGCGGAAAATATGCAAAGTGCATATCTATGCATTTTTTGCATATTTTATCCAATTTCATGAAAAATTGCATATATCTAAAAAATCTGTATAT